TTCTATCAATTCTCTGCCGCACTACTCTTATGGATTAATAATCGTTCTGGCTTCTCGATTCAACAAGCCACTACCGTCGTAAGTTGATTAATTACTAAAAATGACAGACTAGTTTTAAAAAAAAATGTCATGCTAAGTGTTAAAGCAAGAATCAAAATTAAAATATTTGCTAAATAAAAACAAGTTTTCATTCGTCAACACGATTTTTTTTTAACAAATGTTATTTATTAATAAATACAAGGACTACAAAATAAATAAATAAATAAATAAATACTAGCTAGCTACATCTATAAATCGTTTTAAAAATATCTTTTCCAACCTTTGAGTACACCAATATTTTTAAAATTTTCAAAAACTTGTAAATGTTGTTCGGTGATATCAATTTCCATATGATAGTAAATGAACAAGGATTTTCTCTCCCTCCATCGCTGCAAGAATTCATACAAGACCTTTACACTGATATTCCAACCTTCACCAAATTTAATCGTTGAAAGATTAGAACCAGCATAACTTGAAAGGGTGTTAAATATAAAGGTCAATATAGCATCACCATTATTATTTCCCGGAACGTCATCATTATGAATTAATAGGGTGATTTCTTTTAATCTTGGAGAGGATTTAATCAAAATTTCAAAATCATCTTTATACTCGTCTAAATACCATATGGTCACCACTTCAAGGCTTGGACCAAATCTTATTAAAGATTGATAATACGATTTAATACATTCGGGATTTGGCATCGTTGAATCCGTTTCGATATTGACCTGTCTTAACAATCCGTTAACGCCTTGTCGTGTCTGTTGTTGTTGTGATTCAACTTGCGTTCGATCCTGCCCCAGTTCTTGCTCGATATCATTCTCACTCTCACTCTCACTCTCATTCTCATTCTCATGCACGCTTTCGGATTCATTCTCTTCGATGATAGTTTCGGCAACGGTTAAGGTCGTGAAAGAATCGGAGGTACCTTGGATCAATTTAACGAAGGTTTCAAATTCGGTTTCAACGTTAATCCCACAAACAATTAAACATTCGAGATTTGACCATTTAACATTCTCCAAGTAATTCAACCCTCTCACGGAGGTTTCATTGTGAAACCCAACCCTATGATTAGGAGTATAATTGCCCAATATGGATTTAAATTCAAATTTTTTAACGTTCTTTAATTGATTTAAAATATTTGAAAAGATATAAACGTTCTCTTTAAATATGATACTCTTTAAAGTATTTTTATGTTTCAAGAGACTTTTTCCTATAAATTTGTTAAATTCTTTCTTAAATTCTCTCAAATTCTGATTATTGATACCACCAACATCATTCCCTTCAAGATTTTGATGATTAAAATTTGGACAATAAAATTCGACCTCCTTCAACCCATTTTGCATTGAAATGAATTTTGATACGCTTTCATTAATACCGCTACCAACGCTCTCGATGACGCCATTCGAATAATTCAAACTCAACCTTTCCAAGTTTTGACAAGATGAACTTAAATCTTCAAACATCAAGGTGCCTAACTCCATGGGTGAACATTCTAAATGGATTAAGAAACCTAACCTTGTCAAGGCATTGGGATAAATGAAAATTGGGAATGAAGGATGTTCCATACGTTTTAACGTTACGCTATGCTTCAGGAAGATTTTCCATAATTCCTTTTCCAATAACGTTTCATGATATGTATATGAGAATTTCGGTGGTAAATCGTTCGTGTAAGGAGTAGGGTCAAATAAAAGATGAGTGATTAATTTATGAATTGATTCAACGGAAAGGTATTGAATGAATTCGATATAATTAAACATCAATTTATTGGATGAATCATTCAATTGATCCTTCAACAGGAGTGAATTAGTTTTTTGTAGGTATTCTAAATTCTCATTTGGTATACAATGAAATATAGTACGACTCAATGATTTCCATTGTACTTGATTAAACTTGAATGAAATACTGTCATGTAGTGGTTTTTCCCATAATATGGGCATCGCCGCTTGACACCATATTCTATTTACCAACAAACAGGAATAAAGTGATTTATTATCATCTGTTATCTTTTCAAAAATTTCTAATAAACAATCTAATGGAAGAAGAGGATACCCCATTGTATCTGAATTTTTTAATAAAAAAATAAAAATAAAAATAAAAAATAAAAAATATATAAAAAAAAAAAAAAAAAAAAAAGAAAAAAAAAAAAATAATTAATAAATAAATTAAAATAATGAGGAGAGGGAAAAGATTTTCCAAGAAAAAATCGGGAGAATCTCGCCATAAAATCATCGCAATCTTATGCTTACTGCACTTTTGACATCAATGACCCGAAAAAGTAAAGTGTGGTTACACGGTTACCTATATAAATTGCGGAATTGAAAATCTTTCCGTCATTATAAATTCAAGGTCTTGGATCCCAATGCCAAATTTGTAAAAATGGCGCCTTGGGTGGTTTATATTTTTTATATTTCTTAAACGGGTATAAATTAATCACGTGATAAAGCAACAAAATATTGTAGCTTTCAAAGAGGGTCAAAATTCAAAGTTTCAAATCCCGCTCAATTTTTTTTTTTTTGCCATCACTAATAAAGTTTAATTTTTTGGAAACAGCTCTGAAAGTCCCGGAAAATGCTTGTTTAAGGATTCCCTAAATTTGCACAAAGCGCAATATCCGGCTCCCTTTATAATAATAATAATAATAATATTATTATTATTTATTTTAGGGAATGAAAGAAAAAAAGCTTTATTTCTTTAAAATAAAGAAAAAATGCTTACGACTATTCGATTGGAACTTCCGTTCATTGGAACTTTCACATGCATAACCCCATCTTCCAACACCTTATGAATCTTGTCGGTGTCCGCATTAGCGGGTAGCGAAATGGGACGAACAACAGATTGATAACGACGACCTCTGTGTTGTGGCAATGGAGGTGCAATTTCTCCGTCATTTGTAACTGATTTCATCTTTCCAAAGATTACCAGGATATTATCAAAGACTTGAAATTCGATATCAAAATCCTAAGCATCAAATCAAATTTAAAACATTCAAAAATTTTACATCAATGGCGAGAGTCGAATTCGTATACAGTATCTCGCATACACACATGTAAGTCGATTTGGATGTCGATTTCTTTTTCATTCTCAGACTTAATTATTCCGTTGGAGCATCGAGAAGCATCCTCGTCTATTTCAAATTCATCATCTTCACAATCATTTTCATTCAACAAAGGCTTTTTCTTTTTGAGTTGTTCTTCCATGTAAATAATTTTAAGAGGATAATTGGCTTTGCCGAATTGTAGGAAGCTAAGAAAAAAATAAATTAGAAAAAGAATTAATCATTAGGTCATTATTATATCATGTTTCAACTTCAGTCATATGATTTGCACATGACATGTTCCTTTAACGTCCAAAAATATCCATATACTGTATATATATATATATATGTACATTCAATATTCTATTAATTACAAGCTAATTCATCTTATAATTATTTCGTTATGGTGTAAAAGAACTATAAAAATATTTTAATTACACGAAAATCATTCGACGTTCAAATAAATGTGCTAAAAATAAATTGCTCGAAAAAAAAAGAAAAAAATTCTGCAAACAATAAAGTTCAAGCAAACATGACTCTTTACATGCCAAAATTAGAATTTCGAAATCATTATAAAGATTTTTTACAAATAAAAAATATATAGAGAAAATTCATTCCGACATCAATTTTTTTTTTATTCATAATCTGAGTTTCTCTCAATTATTTCAACAAAAGAAAATATATAAATATTTATTTGTCATAACGCAGAGAAAAAGCGTTATTTAAGGATAAAAAAAAAAAAGAAAAAAAAAAAAAATGATTAAAATTACAACCCTCGCACTTTTCGTTATTCTTCCCTTATTAATAATTTACAATACAATTCCTTCATTCACTGAATTGAACTATGATTTTGATCAAATAATATTGGGACCAAGACCTGGAGGCATTGAAATAACCGACTTCAATAAATGGGTTGACCCTTTACCTTCTCTGTTGGTTATGCTCGATGAAATAAGCTGGGCTAATTAAAAGGATTTTCAGAGCGTTACTGGGAACCTTTTTTTTTTTTATTTTTTTTTTCGCTTTTTTCCGCAAATGTATGTCTTGTACGTATCATTTAACCTTTTAGAAGAATAGAATAATTCTTTAATATTAATACAAATGTTTTAACTTTAAACCTTGTGATAACAAGAGAAATTTATTTTTAATCTGAATATGTAGTGTACCCTTACCTAGTCTAACTAGGTAACATAATCTAATTAATTACCTTATTAGTGTGATCTTTGTAACCCAAGATTTTGACCCCTAAAATCTTAGATAATAAAAAATTTTACTTTTGCTGTTTCAAAAAAGACTATGAATTAAATGCATGTAACATTCAATTTTATCATTGATGATTTATTTATTTATGATAAGGATCCAGACAAAAAAAAAAATATTGAACAACCTTCGGGCGAAAATTTTGATTAATGAAAATTAATTTTTTTTTTGTAATGTAATTTTCTCGGCATATAATTCATGAGTGAGATCGACATTATCTCGAAGGCCAAAAGAGTCTTTTGCTTCAATAAGACGCATTTAATATTATGAACCCACTATATACAGAATTGAAAACTTTTTCATTATATTCCGGTTTTAATTTAATAATCAATTAGCAACTTAAGAGCATTCATTTATACTAATTTAAAATATTTGAATTTTACAAATTAATGTTAATAATTATAAAGCATGCAAGCTATTTTAATGAATTTCAATTCAATTATTGCCTAATCTCTCAAATTCAAAATCTAAAGCCAATAATTGTTGCATGAGAAGAGCACTAGGTCTCGTATACCATATGTATGCGTGTACCGCACCATTCAAAGTATACAAGTTGCTAAAAAAAACCAGGATGTTCGGGGGCCAAGTTTCTTACTCATTTTGTTAATTTGTTGAAATGATATATCACTTCCACTATCAATAATCATTTTAAATCAATGCAGAGTATCGACAATTTCCTAGCCCTTTCATTGTATTTTAGGGTGGATTTTATGTAGGCGGAAAGACGCTGATCATTACGGAGGCACATATAATTTTAAATTGTCGTAGAAATTGTAAATAGTGTTATGAGAAAGAGTCATATTTGTTCTCTTAGAAGATTAAAAATTATTCAAATTGGATCATAGAAAGCTTGAATAATAATAATTATGTTATTTAATTATATTTCTCAGCCTTCTGTAATTCATTTTAATGATTTTACTTTGTAAAATAGATATAATGTTTGTTTTTAAATTGCAAAAGATTCTTATTTGTTATAAGTTGTGATTAAAATAATTAAATTTTTTTTCTTCCTGATTGATTTCTCGAAAATTTTAAATTTTTTTTGTTCGAATTTGTTGATCATCACGTGAAATTGGACCAATAATCAAAATTTGACGATGTTGATAACGATCGCGCAACACCAAAAGTCTACACCAAAGCCAACATCAAAGCCAAATGGCAATGCCAATACCTAAATGAATGGTGACACAAAAAAATTGGAAAGTACAATTTTTTTATAATTTATGCATTTCAAATTAAATTTCAATTGTCTAATCTTTTATAATGATGGATATTTTTCACATGAGAGTCGAGACTTGATTATCTTATAATTTGTATCGGCATACCTTTTAATTCCCAAAATTGAATTGAGGTTCCTTTCTTTACTATAAAGATTGATGTAACACACATTCTTGGTAATCCAAATAATCTAAATTAAAGATAAGGTTACACATTAAATGTTGTGTTACAATTTTTAAAAACATTTTACCTCATTATAAATGAATGGATGAATGAAATTTCCTCGTTTCTCTTTCACATTTGTTTCTTTTTTTATTAAAAAAAAAAAAAAATTTAATTAAAATAAATTCGACCATTTATAAAACCTTTACAATCAATCAATATCAAGATTCTTATCGAATGAAATAAAAGAAAAATTTTTCATCGATAGTTTTTTTTTTTTTTTCTCCATAAGTAAATATATAAAGAAAATGCCTGATCCAATCGATCGTTTAACTGATTCGGTAACTAATGGCCTCGCAATTGCAGCGTTATTTTCAAAAGAAGCAGCGGTAGTAGCCGACTCTTTGGGACCATTCATTCCATTAATATCGGAAATAACGCATATAGTATCAGATATTATCGACCTTTATCAGAAGGCTGAACATAATAAGAGGATTTGTGGTTCATTATTATCAAGAGCAACAGCAGCGGAAACTGCTGTCAACATGTTAAAAATTCGTAGACTTGAAAATGAAGATGTATTTAAATCAAGGGAATATTACAACAATTTTCAAAAGTTGGTGGTGGTGATTGGTAAAATTAAAGAATTCATTGAAGAGGTATCACAAATTAAAGGGTTAAGAAGATTTTTGGCTGCTTATTCTATCGAAGAGAAATTTACGAATTTAACCGATGAATTTGATGGATTAATGCGCGTGTTAAATTTTACTATGGCTGTACAAAATCAAATTCAAATGGAGGAAGATCATAAAGTATTAATATCGGATGTGAAGGAAATGAATAAAGTAGGTGCAATGTGTATCTTTGATTCTCTCTCTCTCTCTATTTTTTTTTTTAAAAAAAAAAAAAACTTTTTTTTTTTTTTGCATTTAGTATTTGAAGACAATTGAGGGTGGTATTGTCAATGATTTGAAAGAGATTAATGCTTCGTTAGATGATATCACTCAACTTAATATTGCATGGCAAAAAAGAGTTTTACAAGAGGATAATAATGTTTTAGAATCCGCAACGATTAAAATGACGGAAATTCATGATCCTCACGAGACAGTAAAACGAGGAACAAAGGTTTATAAAAAAATTCGAATGGGCGAGGATATAGCAATTAAAGAAAAAATTTTAGGAGATGATGAAAAGAAACTTATGAATGATATACTTAGTCAAGTAGTTATCTTGAAAAAACTAAAAGAATCTCAATATATACTTCAATTTTACGGTATCGCACAAGATGCAAACGCAATTTATATGGTAACTGAATGGTGCGATTACGGTAACCTGCAAGAATTTTATCAGGATTATGGGCCTCTTGATTGGCATGAAAAAACTCAACTAGCTGTGGATATCGCTCGTGGTTTAACCTTCTTACATACAGTTGCCATCTTACATCACGATATTCGCTCAGAAAATATCCTCATCACTATTCATCGTCAGGCGAAACTTGCCAACTTTACATTAAGTCGTGGATTTAATGATCCCACTAAAAATATGATGCCTACGATTGATACAGTTAGATGGATGGCACCGGAAAAGTTGAAAGATCATAGAAATCTTTATACGGCTAAATGTGAAATTTACAGGTACAATTTATTGGAAATTTTTTTTTTTTTTTAGCATCATTAGATGAACTAAAATTTACTTCTTTTGCTAAAGTTTCGGTATGTTACTGTGGGAAATTGCGGAGGAAAAAATACCCTTTAGTAATGAAAGGGATATATTAAAAATTAGAAATCTTATCGTACAAGAAAATATTCGTCCGTCATTTAGTAATACAATTCCACCTGAGTGGGTTAAAGTTACTTATCAAGGTACCAATAATTTATTTACTTGTTAGACTATTTCATTTTTTTAACAAAATTTTCAAATTACTTAGCATTACAGGATAGTCCAAACGCACGTCCTCCGCTCAGAGATATGTTTATGACGCTTAATCATCTTTATAGCAAATTTGCACCTTCGCCATCTTCACGACCTAATTCATCACGATATCCGACAGATGATGATTTACCGAGTGATGATGAGCTTGACCTTGCTATTGAAGATCTTTCTATCAGCGTTTTAACTGTTAGAGAAGCTATATTAGAACATAAAAAGAAAGATGGCGATAAAGTAAAGTCCTGGGAAAGTTTTAAATATCATGCTGAAGAATTTAACGATATTACAGCGAGGTAATTTATATATACATGTTTATATTGCTGATACCTTATCTGATATATTACCTATTATTTCTTTTGAAACAGGTATTGGAAAGGGTACTATTTATATTACGGACTTTGCCCAATTGATGATCCATCGGACGCAGAAGCAAAGAGGGCAAGATTAGAAGAAGCAGCCAATCTATTTAAGGAAGCCGCAGACTATGGATTATCAGATGCCCAACTGAGATATGGTCATTGTTTATGGTCTGGCGACGGTGTAAGGAAAAGTATATCACAAGCGATCGAATATTTTCAATTATCTGCAGATGGTGGTAATCCCACTGCCATGTATAATATTGGTAATTTATATTATAATGGTCTTGGTGTACAAAAAGATGAAGAAAAAGGAATAAGATATTTAAGATTAGCTGCTTTAAGAGAACAGCCCAAAGCATTCGAGATGTGTAAACGGAAATGTATTTCTTTAGTTTAATAAGTTATTAACGATGACGCTTTATTTATTTGTTTAGATTCACGTTTTACATTTAATATTAATTATATATTATTGTAAATAAGTTATTTTACCTATATAAATGATGTATTATTATATATATATTGTGTTTATTTGATCATATTAAATTTAATAATATCCAATATTAATCATTATAACAATGTTAAATACTTATCCTGTTCTGCTAATTGCCCTAGGCGATAATGTGAAGGATTGATTTTGTCTCCACCTTTGAAAAATATAGCCAGTAATTTTGTAATATCAGGATTAATGGTTAATTACCCCGACACTTTTCATTATTTTATCAAAAGTCTCTTCTAGAGGAAATCCGCTCGTGTCATACTAGTAATCCATAATTATCGCTCAAGCGTTCTCTTAAAGAATTAACTATGACTGAGTAGTCATATAAAACTTTTAAAAGATCGAACTCTGCCTTTGTAAGAAATTTTAATTAATAGATTTAACCTTATTCCCTTTTGGCATTTCCAAGCTTTATTAAATTCAATTCCACATGCAATTTGATTGGACATTCAAGAACAACATGATATTAAATTTGAAGCAGTCGCTTAAGCTGTTATGAAGCACCGACATTTTCTTTAAACCAATTAGTGTGTTGTACTGAAATTTACCACCTCGTCTGACATCGATTAGATCTCTGACTAGATGAGCGATAAACAATTACAAGTTTCCTTTATTAGTAAATAAAATTATTAATTTATAATTTTAATTAACAAACTATAATACATAATTAAAGTAAGTCTTGTAATTCGTACAAGACCAAGCTTCCGTTTCAAATAAACCAATTAACTATTCATCTAAGTCTAAATAACAAGAAATAGACAATATATAAAAACCGACCGTGTGTAATGAATGATTTTATTACCAAAACGATTAATAGTTAAGACAAAGAATTACTAGTATAAATGTTTTGAATAATGCTATCTTCATTTGCATTATTATGCTTGATTTTTATTTTCGGTATGATATTTTGAATTTTCAAATTGATCCAAAATATAATGTGGAGGATTTTGTCTCCATCTTTGAAAAATAACTTTTAATTTTTTAATATCAGGACGCTTGAATGGATCTTGATCCCAACAACTTTCCATTACTTTTTCATAAGCCGGTGGGATTTCTCGAGTAATTTCAGGTCGTAATCCTTGACTAATTTCTATCGTTAGCAAAATGTCATGTTTCCTATCATAGTATGGATCGAATCCGGTTCCAAGTTCAAACATTATCATACCTAAACTATAAATATCTGAAGATTGAATATATGTTTCTCCTTTTAAAACTTCAGGAGCAACATATGGCAAGACCCATATTTGATTTTTGGTTCGAATGATACCTTTTTACATAAGCCAAAATCATTAAGGTATGCCAAATTTCCATTTATTAATATATTCCAAGAATGTATATCACAATGAGCCATTCCTAATTTATGAATTATAGCAAGATCATTAACAATATAATCCAAGAAATTGGTTTTTTCTTGCCATGAAATTTTATTTTTTTTCAAATAATCTCTTAAATTGCCATCAGCCGCATTTGGAGTTATAATACCATAATCTATCGTATCTCTCATCTGAGTAACACCGTACAATCTAAGGAATCTTCTACCACTTGTCATAAATTGATGTTGAAATTTTAGCTTTTTATTGAAACAAAGAAATGAATGATTCAAATATTAAATTCAAATGAAAATATCAATAATTAGCATAGCGGTAGGGATGGGCGTTAATTAACCTGGTTAATTAACCGTTAATTAACCGTTAATTAACCGAGGGATAATTAACCATTTTGGTTAATTTTGAATTGACCAAT